GCGTTTTCACCCTGCTAGCACACCCCGTAGCCCCTAAACAAACTATGGGTGATCGTAACAGAACGCGATCAAAAATTTACGAGAGATTAAACAACCCAGAACTTCGCTGTAAAACGGGGTAAGTCTTGTTAAGAATAGTGAAACTGTACCTTCCGTCTCCAGCTACTTTTATTGTAGTGAGAACTGCTGCGAGTGTTACAGAGAAAAACGTAGCTTATGTTTTAGATCTTCAAGAGAGTGTAAATTATTATTTTCGTTCCCTATTACACCTGTATCGCGTGAACAAGGTGTTTTCATCGATGGGATATCAAGGTAGTCTTCTGTTTCGTTTTAGAAGGCGCTATTAAAATGTGTTTGGTTAAACACAATAAAGCCATTCTTTACTTAAACTTTCACGTTAAAGTGAAGTAGAAATTTGAAAACAAGGTTTCATGTAGTGCTTGTCGAGGTTAACTGCGATTTGTAATCATAAGTAATGTTAAAAAGAAATCGAGTCACAAAGCTTGAGTATAATAGTCGTGTGAGGTCGTTGCGCCATCTTGGACGGAAATGCTGAAACTTGACCGTTTGTGACAATCATGTGATTTCACGTCAAGATGTCTCGTCAAGTTTCCGTGTTCCGAAATAAAATTTTACCTCTGACATTATCTATATACACTGTAATAACACATGCAAGTACATAACAGTACAGGGTATGTTGTTTATTTTTGTGAAGCCAGTATTCGTCATCATCCTTCTACATAAAGATAAAATTATGGTTAATGGTGTAAGGGATGTGGAGAATTTCTCAAGAATTTTCTGTTCAACTATGTTACAGGGAAACACCAAGGAACTGATATATGCATACACATATTTCCTTTCATGTGAGAATATTTATATGTTTGTACATGTAGATTTATTGTCAAGCAAGCAGAAGCAGAGAAATGGACAAAATCATGAAGCTTAAATGAATGCCTCTAAATTTTTAGAGCTACTGTGTAGCATCTAAAGAAAAGCATGATAATCACAGCAGACATGTACATGTAGAATTGTTTGTAGTTGAATACCTTATTTTCAACCATAATTTGATTCAACCATCTCATTGTAGTAACTAATTGGTAATTCATAGACCCAATTTGTTGCCATGGATACTTTGCATGGCTGTAAAAATGTGCTAATGAACCTCATTGAAACTTTGCAGTTGTGGTTTTTATGGAAACCCAGCATGGAAAGGCTACTGTTCAGTATGCTACAGGGAAGTGTATCTAAAACAGCAGAGGGCACGGGCTGCATCACAAAGCAGAGAAGACGCATTATCAGGAGGCTCTAAAAATTTGCATGCAGAGGGTAATAATCAACATTGTACATTTTTCCCTAATGATTTCGGTTTTTCATAAATGAGATATAAACTAGTAACTGCTAGTTAAGATTCTGAAATTTACATTAATTTTTCCTCACTAGCCCAAAAGTCCAAGAACAAAATGTAGAAAAAATAAATAATCAATAGCATGCACATAAAGTGATGGGTGCCTACACATAGACTGTACATGCCAGTTGATCTGTAAGAGGAGTGACATGCATATTTACAGGCTGGAATGAATGAATTTAAACTAAGTNCCTACACATAGACTGTACATGCAAGTTGATCTGTAAGAGGAGTGACATGCATATTTACAGGCTGGAATGAATGAATTTAAACTAAGTGATGCATTGTACTTCAATGTGTACTACTAAGCCATCACTAAAATAATGGCCTCCAAAGTGCCCAGAATTGACCAGCACCATGCATACTACATACATGTTCTTAAAGCATGTTGTATTTTTATGTGGATTTGACAATCCTGTCAGGGAGACCAGGATGTGTATCCACGAAACTCCTGGATGGTCCTGGTGGATGTCATGGGTGCTTTTAATTTAGCTTTGTAGTCAATGAAAGTGTTGTGCACTAAACCATCTTTTTTCTTGCGTAGTGGGACGTGAGGAGGAGGAATCTTCAAAACTAAAGTTTAACAAGTTTGAAGAGAAAAAGAAGTTTCAGTTAGAGTCAAAAAAGTAAGTGTCATTGAACTCATTAATTCCCATAAATGCACTAAGTTTTAGGCAAACTAACACATGCATATGTGTTTTTATTTCAACAGACAGAGTGTAAAGAAATTATTCAAAAAGAGCCCTGGAAGATCTTCCTTACCAGACGACGCTCCAGCTGCAAATGTAACCCTATCGCCAGGTAAGCCAAGCCAAGCCCTTCAGAACATGCAAGTATAAGTTGCCTCACTGTACTGAATCAGTTGTTAGTGTACTTTCCACTGTTTTTTTATAAGCGCCTGTGTTATTACACTTGACTGTGCATTTGTTTAAGTTGCTTTCTGTATTACTTGAATGTAATCTAGTTGAGCCTCAGAAGAGTGCCACCAGTTTCCGTGAGTTCCTCAAGACTCTCAAGAAACCAGCAGCACAAGATGTTAATGATAAATGCAAGCTGTAAGTAACTTTTAATCATTTTGAATCAAAGTCTGTGTACTGTGTTATTACTGTATGTGGTGGAGACACTTTCACTCCACCAGTGAGTTAGAGAGCTCTTGTTTCAGCATTTCTAATGGCAAGTCAGTGTAATATACAGTGAAAGTGAGATAATTCTATCACTCAACATGCCTCATAATACTGTATTAGTTCAACATGTAGACACTTCAGAATGGCTGTAACAAGCTCTATCAAAAAATAATGATAATGATGATGATGATCATAATAATAATAATAATAATAATAATAATAATAATAATAATAATAAAACTGCCCTAGGCCCATAGATTGAACTCGGCACCATAAGTTAAAAGCGGCAAGACTTTAAGGACTTAAAATAATAATAATAGGAAGAACAACAATGAGGGCTATTATACAGCTGTTCATCGGTGTTCGAACAAAGAAAGACCTGTCTTTTGAATAGCCTGGGGCTACTGGATTTTGCAGTGTAGCTTCCTGTGAGAGATAATTTAAGTCATTAGTTTAATTTTAAACTAGCTAGTAATATTTTCTTTTTTGGGGAGGGTGGGATGAGGTAGTGAGAATAACTTGTGGGAGAGTACATGTACATCATTGACATCATACAGCTGTAGCAGTGCTACAGTTTTCTTTACATGCTATACATGTACATGTATGTACATGAAGTTGTGTCAATCTTACAAGTGAAACCTGTTAATTATATTGGAATTGAAATTAATTAGAACGGCTGCTTTTTCCACAGGTTTGTTCAAAGGATTTTAAACAACCCATCACTGAAGGTTGAGGAGCAGAGTGAAATGGTTCATGATTTTTATGGGGTATGTGCTGTGTAGTATTGAAACTTAATAAAGACACTCTTGACCTAATTAAGTTTGATTGATGTACTTTATATATCATGTTCATTGATGTTTTGAATCAGTCCTTACAAGTTTGTTGATACTGTAAGACTGTAAAGTTCCAGAAATAAAAAGCTTAAAAACTTTCACATTTACATGGTGTAGCAACCTTTTCTTGTGGTTACTTTTGGAAGGTCCTTCATGTGCAGTGTGGCGTATGGTAAGACAGTATTTGTGGTAGCTGAACATGGACCAATCCATCACAGAAAAATGATGCTTTAATGAAACTGTGTTGGGGGCACAATAAAATTATATGTACGTAGTTCTCATTGGTATATTCACGTAACATTTTAGGCAATGTCCGAACACCTTCAGTCGCATCCCTTGTTTCAAAACCAACCACAAGAAGTGATTGACAGAACACTAGATGGAGTAGAGAAATACATCATGACCAAGCTGTATAGAGTGTAAGTTCCACTTTAAACTGACCAGTTTTATTTGTTCTTAGTACTGCCCCTAACAAGAGTCTCATTGTTGTCGTTAAATTGATGATAAAGTTTCTCTGTTGATCAGATGTTTATCATGAAACTATCATAAATTTATTTTAATGACAATAATCATTTCTGTTGAAAGGTTTTTCTTTTTTTTTACAACCAGGTACAACATGCATGTGTTGACTTAACAAACAACCTTGTATATCTTGTCATCCAAACAAATCTAAGTATTTTCCGTATTACCATTAATCACTAATTTTTTCAAACTGTTACAGTAAGATGGTTTTATGTTTGCAGTGTTTTCTGTCCTGCCTCCACTGATGATGAAGCAAGGGATTTGGCAAATCAAAAACGTATTCGAAGTTTTAATTGGATTACTCCTCAGCATTTGGATGCTGCTATTAATCCTGACAGTGACAAAGTTCAACAGCTGATTGAAGATGCACAGCAAGGTAATGTTGGAACATTACCAGTATGTTACTCTAGAACAAACAATGTTGGTAGAGCTGGCTTCATGTGTGCCCCAACTGAAGCCTTAAAACTCAAGATGCTTGCATGTAACTCCACTTTCTGTGGCGCTCAAGTTTTATGCTGTTAATGATTTACTGTAAATGTTTATGTAAACTATTCTCCCTGGATGGGTTATGAATCACTGGTTACCCACAGCATTTTTGAGTGTTATTATTCCAAAAATTATCTCTTGTTATACTACATGTACATGTTACTGTCTTCCTGAGATAAGTGCACAACAGAAGTGTATGTAGGCAAGGAACACAATATAAAATTAATTGGCTATTTTAAAATATTAGAATTATGGTGCCTAGGTTTAGGGGAGTAAAACTTTATCGATTTTTTCATCCCCCAGTTTTGTTTCATGGCTTTAAGCCCCTGTTAAAATACAGGTCAGTATTGTAATGTTTCAAAAATGTTGTACCATGCATACACATACAGTGTACATGTGTCCTTTTTGTTACTAATCTTGTGTGTGCATTTTCCAAATGTTCTCCTGTAGACTTGGTAGAAATAAACACCAAAAGAGCTCCTCAAGACAAACTGGCTTGTGTTGTTCGATGCTGCAAGAACATCTTTAGTATCCTTTATCAAAATAACAATTATTAGTTTTCATGTTTAATGTTTAGTGAATTGATCCTATTTACAGCACTGACAAATCCTTACAGTGTACAATCATACACATTATGGGGCCATGTCACGTTACTGCCACATGCTGGTAAATCTGTGTTGTAAGGATAAAGGCACACAGATTAAGACATGGAATTTGGGTTGCTTTCCTTCCTGTAGAAATTTGCAGTGCAATTCAGCTGGTGTTAAGATATTTTTTCTTCCGCAGTACAAGTGGTAGTCAGAGTGATTTTGTCAATCTTGTGACCTAATTAAATGCAAACTTTCAATGTAGACAAACATGTATGCACTAGTACATGTAACTTATATCAGCAAAGTGAACTGTCAATCCAGCACATGGATTGGTTTGGGCCACAAACCAAAGTGCTTCATTACCAGTATACTGTATTCCTTTTGGAGACCAACTGTATTGGCCCTCAAGCATGTTAGTAGGGCCCAAAAAAAGTGCTGTCTGGTTGTCTGGGACAAGTAGATTCTCCTTCTGGGCAAGTACCTTTTCATTCTCACTTGCCCAATGGGCAAGCGATCAGGCNGTACCATGCATACACATACAGTGTACATGTGTCCTTTTTGTTACTAATTTTTGTGTGTGCATTTTCCAAATGTTCTCCTGTAGACTTGGTAGAAATAAACACCAAAAGAGCTCCTCAAGACAAACTGGCTTGTGTTGTTCGATGCTGCAAGAACATCTTTAGTATCCTTTATCAAAATAACAATTATTAGTTTTCATGTTTAATGTTTAGTGAATTGATCCTATTTACAGCACTGACAAATCCTTACAGTGTACAATCATACACATTATGGGGCCATGTCACGTTACTGCCACATGCTGGTAAATCTGTGTTGTAAGGATAAAGGCACACAGATTAAGACATGGAATTTGGGTTGCTTTCCTTTTTGTAGAAATTTGCAGTGCAATTCAGCTGGTATTAAGATATTTTTTCTTCCACTGTACAAGTGGTAGTCAGAGTGATTTTGTCAATCTTGTGACCTAATTAAATGCAAACGTTCAATGTAGACAAACATGTATGCACCAGTACATGTAACTTATACCAGCAAAGTGAACTGTCAATCCAGCACATGAATTGGTTTGGGCCACAAACCAAAGTGCTTCATTACCAGTATACTGTATTCCTTTTAGAAACCAACTGTATTGACCCTCAAGCATGTTAGTAGGGCCCCAAAAAAGTGCCATCTGGTTGTCCAGGACAAGTAGATTCTCCTTCTGGGCAAGTACCTTTTCATTCTCACTTGCCCAATGGGCAAGCGATCAGGCAAGTCGCCTGCATTAATAATTTAGCAAGCTAAGACTTGCCCAGAGCAAGCAATATTTGAGAGATACTTGTCCTGGAATTCAAGTTTTTTTCGAGCCCTGTGTTTTTGTTTTTGTTTTGTTTTTTTTTTTTACCTTGACATTTTGGTAGAAATTATTCATCTATCCACACCTGCTGGAGGAGCAGTGAGCGCTGACGATTTTCTTCCCTGTCTTATTTATGTTGTCTTGAAAGCAAATCCAACAATGCTACATTCTAATGTACAGTGAGTATCTATATTATTGTGTTCATTCACAGTTTATGTGTACATCAGCCTTGTTATTGATTCAGAAGTAACCCATCAAAGGTCCAAGTGGCAAAGGCCTTTTCTGCCTACATGTAACTTTGAGAGATGTTGATTTGGTTACTTGGTTAGTTGAGGAACAGTGCAAAAACAGGAGTAAAAGGGTTCTGCTTGTAAATGATTGAATGTCTGGAACAGGCTATTGAACCCATATACGTACACTGTTAGCTGTGACAAATACATGTAAACAGCTCACAAACACCCCTAAAAGTGTGGTTTACAAGGATATACTTCTTTTATTTATTATTTAATAGGTACATTTCAAGATTTTGCAATCCTAACAAACTGATGATGGGAGAAGCTGGATATTACTTCACAAACCTGGTTAGTATGAATTCCACCCCTTTTTAAAGTCATACATGTACATTCATGACGTCACTGTATCTGTGACTGTCCAACTAACTGACCCACATACATAAAGCACATGTTCTACAAAAGTCATGTACAGGTAGTTACATTTACATTGTAACCTTGCTTGAAAGCTGAATGTTACTATAAATACATGATGTACATGTTATACTGTTTGATAACATATTGTATTGTTGTTTGTTTGACACTATGGGGTACATAAGTCTCAATTACCAGCCACTGGTAAAATAAGCCATTGCTCCATTCCTCCTCCTCCTCCTCCTCCTCCTCCTCCTCCTCCTCCTCATCCTCCTTTCAAGTTTGTCGTTTGTAATCCGTGTTAATCTTCTCCATCCTTAACCATCCTTGTTCCCTTGTGGTTTATAACAAAATTTTTGGTGTTTCTCTATCTTAGTAAACTACTATTTTAAGCCAGTTCCTTTCAATTTAACAGTAATTTTGAACATGGCAGTTCATTTTACTGCATTGAATACAACAGACTTAAGTTACGTCAGCGCAAAGAGGTTTTTTTATATGCCGGGGTTGCGTTCAAAGTAAACTACTGAACTTAAACGCAGAAGTCGTAATCAAACTAACAACAATGGCTTGAAGAATGTATTATTAAAGAAAATTAAAGTAATTCTTTGACACGATGGGTTTTTTTTTTTTTTTTTTTTTTTTTTT